CCCGCTATTCAATTGATTTTTTTTTTTTTTTTTCACCTTTGCAATTTCAATGTTATTCTGATAACCAATACTTGACAGGCAGCACAAGGGGAAAAAAGCAGTAGAGCAAAGGAACAGCAAATAATTTTCTTGCATGCACTTTCAGTCGAACAGGATGTGGCCCCTTCTCTAGATAGCGTGTGTTTGAAAGGACATCTGAGGCTTCTTCAGCCTCACGGGGAAAGACTATTGGCGATGATAGCAATACCCAACACTCACTCAACCCAAGAAGAAACCAAATGGGGCACCAAAGTTGGCAGCAAAAAGTTGGCACTGGCTGCTACCCACTCAGGACAAATAAGGGACGGGAGCAAAAGGTCTGAGGAACTCTGAGGGGCGTTTCTGGTGGTATCTGGCCCAGAAGTAAAGGAATTCTGGACCCAGGGATCCTCCAAAATCTCCTCCTCATTCTGCCAGGTCAGGCAGCTCAAAGACTCAATATCGATCCCAGCTCCAGCCCAGAACAGCCTCATTCTCCAATTTCCCATGCGGGATGTCTTGCGCTTCAGCCCGGGCTTCGGCCTCAGCTGCAGCAGTCATCCAGTAGGCATCCAGGCCTCCCATCTGCAGCCTGCCATGGAAGCTGTGCAGTCCAGTCACGAGTGGTCTCTTTCTGAACCTCTGTCATGAATCTTCAGGCACCTTTCATCTTGCTAGTTCTCTGTTAGGTAACGGAGGCGCCGGGAGAGGAACTCATACTCTGGGGGTTGCTGTTGGGCACTCGTCTGTAAGTCCAGGTATTTTTGCTTAAACTCGTAGGTGAGAAGTTTCCTTAGATCTCCAAAGGAGGGGATGTCTCACCCCAGGTACGCAGTCCCATCTGCGTAGTGGCCTCCCAGAGGGCAGCCTCACTGGCACGGTTGCCATTCATTGAGAGATGACCCAGAATCACCAAGAGGAGACCGAGGCTTGGGTGGTCTTTGGTCGTTCCCAGTATGCACAGCCAGGGACTCGGGGTACTGATGAGAAATATACAGGTGTTCTTCTTGTCAATTTCTTTCAGCTGAATCCCAAATTTCTTCTTCTAGGACAAAGCATGCACGTTCAATGATTTCTGGATAAACATCAGTGTATTCACGGATGATATGCTCTCAGCATTTCTGAGCGCCTTGATGGAATTATTGTCCGGGACTCCAGATTCTGAGCCTGGGAACCATCTGCTGATGTCTGTGCAGTTGCACCGTCAGATTCAGAGATACCTGGGTCGGTCTCTATGTCAGCCTGGGAAGTGGCCATTTTGGCCTGATTTACATTCTGGGTCTGGGTATCAGCTGTTGGGGACTTAGTGGTATCATTCCAAGCCTTGAAGGGGGTCTTAGGCCTGCTGTTGGCCAGGTCATTGGCATTGAGAGACTGAGAGAAATTGTAGGTGGCATTTGGGCCCACTTTAGTAGTGGCATTCTGGGCCTTAAAGGCCATCTCAGACTTGTTAGCAGCTAACTCACCAGTGGTTGCTGCCTGGGAAAAATCATAGGCAGCATTTGGACCCTTTGGGGTGGCATTTTGGGACTTAAGGGCTGCCTTGGGCTGCGTGTTGGGCACGTCCTTGGCATTATGAGCCTGAGAGAAATCATAGACACCATTTGGGCCTTTTGTGGTGGCATTCTGGACTTTAAAGGCTGACTTAGGCCTAGCGGCAGCTGCTGAAACCTGAATGTCAGCCATCTCATTGGCAGTTGGGGGCTGTGAACTCTGGGGACTAGCAGCTGCAGTGGCCTGGTTAGTAGGTGGAGCCTCTGAGATCTGGATGGCCTCCATCAAGGTCTGCATAAGCAAGGCGCTGTCTTCTACAGAGGCCTCAGCCTGGAAGCCGAGGAGGCCCGCACCACAGTCCATTTTCTGAGCCATGGCTCCTGTCCCTCTGGCAAGAGCGGAGCCTGGGGGCTTGACGAAGAAGGCAGCGACGATGGCGTGACCGGAAGTCCATTGATTTTTGAATTGGTTTTTTGTTTCTATTTTATTTCTTCTCTGAGCTTTTTTTCTTCTTAATTCTACCAATGTTGCATTTAGTTTGTTATTGTTTTTCTAGTTTCTTGAGGTGTACTGTTAGGTTGCTTATTAAAAGATAGATAGATAGATAGATAGATAGATAGATAGATAGATAGATAGATGTAGGCATTTATTGCTGTAAACTTATCTCTTAAAACTGCTTTTGTTGTCTCATAGGTTTTGGTATAATTTGTTTCCATTGTTTTCTGTCTCAAATAAATTTTTAATTTCTGTTTTATTTTTTTTCATCGACCCATTGGTTGTTTAGTAGCCATACTGTTTAATTTCCATGTATTTGTAAATTTTCCAAAATTGTTATTGTTGTTGATTTCTAGCTTTATGTCATTGTGGTCATAAAAGATATTTTATACAATCTCTATTTTCTTAAACTTGTAAAGATTTTCTTTGTGACCTAACATGTTATCTAACATGGAGAATGTTGAGAAAAATGTGTATTCTGCAGCGGTTGGAGGAAATGTTATATAAATGTCTGTTAGATCCATTTAATCTAGAGTGCAGTTTAACTCTGACGTTTTGTAGTCGATGTTTTGTCTAGGTGATCTGTCTGTCCATTGTTAAAGTAGGATCTCAAAGTTCCCTGCTATTATTGTATTGCAATCTATCTCTCCTTTTAGATCTAATAATATTTGCTTTATATATCTGGATCCTCCAGTATTGAGTGCATATATGTTTTTACAATTGTTATATCCTCTTGTTGAATTGATCCCTTTATGTAAGGTCATTATCCTTATATAATGACCTTGTCTCTTTTTACAGTTTTGACTTCAAGTCTGTTTTATCTTATGAAGGTATGGCTACCCTTTCTCACTTTTTGTTTACTTTTGCATGGAATGTCTTTTTCCATGCCTTCACTTTAAGTCTTTAATGTTTGTCTTTAATGGTGAAGTAGTCTCCTGAAGCTAACAAGTATTTGGGTCCTGTTTGTTTTTAATCCATTCAGTCACTCTATATCTTTTAACTGTACAATTTAATTCATTTACCCCAGGTAATTTTTGACAGGTAAAGATTTACCCTGACATTTTAAAAATTGTTTCCTGGCTGTCTTATAGATCAATTATACCTTCTTTTCTTGTTTAGGTCTCAAGTTTGGTGGTTTTCTGTGCTGCTATGCTTTCTTTCCTCTGTCTGGTTTGTTGCTGTAATTTCTTTCTTTATGATCGCCATGAGGTTAACACAAAGACTCCTGCAGTTAAACTAAACTATTTTAAGCTGATCACCGCTTAATTTTTTTAACATAAAAATAATCTAGAGTTTTTACTACCCCAACAATATATATTTTTATTATCTTAATTTATTACGATTTCTTTAGCCACCAACTGTAACTTGTGTTATTTTTGATCATTTTGAATTTAAACCTTCATACTAGAGGATTGAGAGATTTACATAGCACCATTATATCACTGGTGTATTATCAATTTGATTTGTTAATTTACCTCTCATGGTGAATTTTATATTTACATTTTGTTTTTATTCCTTAACCTGTAACATACTTTCACATGCTTTAATGATAGGAATTATCGTTCTTTGGTTTCCATGTGTAGCACTTCCTTAAGTATTTCTTGAAAGGCCAGTCTATTAGTAATGAATTCCCTCAGATTTGCTTGTCTGGGAATGTCTATTTTTCCTCCATTTCTGAAGAATAGCTTTGTTGAATATAATATTTTAGCTGACAGTTTTTTGTTTTTTTTTTTTTTTAAATTTTCAGCACTTTGAATATAACATCCTATTCACTCTTCTGCTGGGTAATCTGCTAATAGTCTAATGAAAATTCCCTTAAAGGTGACTAGACACTTTCATCTTACAGCTTTTAAAATTCTGTCTTTGACTTTTGACAATTTTATTATAATGGACCTTAGCAGGGTTTTTTGAAATTGAATTTAATTGGGGACCCTTGAGATTTCTGAATATGAATGTTCATATATCTCTCAATACTTGGAAAGTTTTCAGCTATTATTTCATTAAAAATGTCTTCTGTGACTTTCCCCATCTCTTCTCTCTCTGGAAATGCTATCATGCAAAATTTATTTGCATAATGATGTCTCACAAGTCCCATAGGTTTTCTTTATTATTTTTATTTCTACTTCAATTTGTTCCTCTATTTCAAAAGATGGTTTTCAAGTTCAGAAATTCTTTATTTTGCTTGATGTAGTCTGTTAAAGCTCTCAATTGTATTTTTTTATTCCATTCATTAAATTCTTTGGCCCCAAAATTTCTGTTTGTATCTGTTTTTTAAATGTCTATCTCTGTTGAATTTCTCACTCAGATCATATTTTCCTTATTTTATTGAATTTTTTGTGTTCTCTTGTAGCTCACTTAGCTTACTTAAAATTATTATTTAGAATTCTTTTTCGGGCATTTGGTAAATGTTCTTTTCTTTGGGGCCTGTTACTTGAGACTTATGTCTTTCTTTGGGGGTGTCATGTTTCCAAGGTTTTCTATATTTCTTATGCTCCTATGTAGATATCTGCATATCTAGTGGAATAGTCACTCTTATTAATTTTATATAGTAGTTTTCATGGTGAAAAACTTTTTTTTTTTTTTTTTTTGGAGATGGGACTATGAGTGTTGGTTTAATATGGTGTAATGGCTTTGTTTTTGGGTGGATAGTGTGTTTTCCATCCATTTTTCTTCTGCTGTAATCCCTGTCAGCAATGTTTGCAACTGTCTCAGTGGTCTAGGCTGTAAGAATTTTTGATGACAGTAGAGTGGTTTCGCTGGGTAGAGGCTCTGGGCCCATTGTCAGGCTGGTTGCATGTGGGCACAGAAGACTGACTGGCCTTTCATTGGGCTCTCTGGAGAGTTGGTGGCTGCTGCCAGATGCCTGTCAGGCTATGCTTGGGGGCACAAGAGTGTGGCCAACTGGGATGCTGTGTGGTTTTTTCTCCAAACAGGCAAGGCTGCAGCTAGACTGGATGTCAGGCTAGGTATGCATAGGCATGGCAGTGCTGGGAGGCTCTGTGGCAATCTGTTGCAGGGCAGGTGTTCCATAGGACCCGTTATTGGGCCAGATACAGGTGCACACATTCTTGGCAGGCCATCTGGCTGTGGGTCATGGGTGTGTATGGACAAAGTAGCTGACCTGCTGTTTGGTGGTTCCCATACTGGGCAGATTTGCCTGTTCCTTCGAGACAGGCAAATGGGTTTGGATACTGGGGTCTCGATTATTCCTTCTGGCCTAGGCTCTGGACAGCTGGGGTCATGGTGCTGCAGGAACCTGTGTAAACATGGTGGAATGATGGTGAGGCCTCAGAGACAGATAAACAATCAGTTGCTAGCAGCCCCTAGAAAAGGGTGCACTTTAGTAATGAGATAGAAGCTTAGGTCACAAGGGTGATGAGTGCTCAGTGTAGGCTTCTACTCTGAGACAATGTATCTGCCTGAGCTCCTGGTTAATCTGCAAAATGGATTTGGTGCCTGTGAAGATTGGGGGCCTTTACTCTAACAAGGATAGCTGGCATTTGGTGGCAACAGGGGCTGTCAGACACCCACAGCTCAGCTTTTCCCAGTAAGAACTCCCTCCTGATTCTAAGTTGGTTTTGATGGGAGAGACAGTGAGGCAGGGGCAGAAGGCCTCACTCTCTTCTCTCTGGTGCTATCCTGGGCATCTGTGCTCCACACAAATTTTGACACTCCCCTGGTGCTCTCCAGCATAATTCTTCAGCGAGTCTAGTCAAAATATAGTTATTTGTTACTTCAGTTTCTTATTGTGGGAGGGTGAGTCGTGGCTAACTCTAGGTTGCCATCTTGCTGACTTCACTGAGGCTGTTGATTCTGTTCCACTGGTCTATGTGTCTGTCTTTATCCCAGTACCATGCTGTTTCAATTTTGAAATCAGAAAAGATGCTGTCTCCAGCTTTGCTTTCTGATTTCTCAAGATTCCTTTGGCTATTTGGGATGTTTCAGAGTTCCAAATGAATTTTAGGATTGTTATTTCTACCTCTGTTTAAAAAAATAAAAATTAAAAAAATTAAAAAAGCTATCGTACTTTTGATGGGGATTGCATTGAATCTGTCAATTGCTTTGTGTAGTATGAACATTTTAGCAATATTGTTTCATTCCATGAACATGAGATAGCTTTCCATTCATTGATGCCTGCTTAAATTTCTTTCATCAGTGTTTTTTTTTAATTTTTAAAAAATTTTTATTATTCTTAAAGTTCTGGGGATACATGTGCAGAATGTGCAGGTTTGTTACATAGGTATACATGTGCCATGCTACACCCATCCACCCGTCATCTACATTAGGTATTTCTCCTATTGCCATCCCTCCCCTTACCCCCTAATCCCCTACAGGCCCCAGTATGTGATGTTCCCCTCCCTGTGCCCATATGTTCTCATTGTTCAACTCCCAATTATGAGTGACAACATGCAGTGTTTGGTTTTCTGTTCCTGTGTTAGTTTGCTGAGAATGATGGTTTCCAGTTTCATCCAGGTCCCTTCAAAGGACATGAACTCATTCTTTTTTATGGCTACATAGTATTCCATGATGTATATGTGAAGCATTTTCGTTATCCAATCTGTCATTGATGGGCATTTGGGTTGGTTCCAAGTCTTTGCTATCCTCCTTGTTTAATATCTGTGCTTTTTTTTTTTTGGTTTGTTTGCATTGCGCTACTGTGTCCTTTTTCATCTGTTTTAGTTTGTTTTCTACTGCTGCAATAGAATACCACAGACTGGGTAATTTATAAACAACAGAAGTTTATTTGGATCAGAGTTTTAAAGTGTGGGAAACCTATGAGCATGGTGAGCATTATCCCATGGCCAAAGGGTGGATGACAGAAGCAAATGTGTGTGTGCGTGAGAGAGAGTGAGTGAGTGTGAGAGAGAGTGAGAGAGAGAGAGAGAGAGAGAAGAGAGAGAAACATCATCCCATGGCCAAAGGGTAGAAGGCAGGAGTGAGTCGGGGGGGG